AAATCTCTCTCCCTTTACCTTTAATTACCAGCCACATTCATCACGAAAATTAACCACAGTTGGCACGCACGTTTTAGTTCCAGCACTTTTGGAGTCCTAGTGATGCGTCTAAGCTCTGATATTGAACGGAGCTTCCACGCATGGTTCCTTTTTTACCTCTATGGTAATGCGAAAAATAAATGTTTCATTCTATTGAAGAGTTTCCAAAAGATAACATACGAATTTATACAGATTTAAATATGACATGCTCCATATTCACGTCCAAGGCTGCGTGAAATCGAAAACGAATTATCAATACAAGTTGATATTTGTATACACTTTAAAACAAAAATACTTGAACATATACCCATTTTACCCGTTGAGAATTGCATATTTGTGAAGACGGTGACAGTTATTCTGAATAACCCTGTAGGTTCCACATCCAGCAAAATTCTCAATTCCTTCCATTGATGGTTGCCATGTGTGAAACTGAATGTTATCATCAGTTTTGTTTCCACCGACATCTCCACAAGTTGTTTGCTTCCAACGGGGTTACAGCAAAAGCGAACGAACCGCAACAATGAGTTGCTATCGAAAAACCCCATCTTAAAGTTTGATTACATATTAGAAGATTGATCTTCAGGCAAAGTTTGGATTTCCTGTTTATAAAGGATAGAAGGGACAATGAGGAATTGCTACAAATCATTGCTCGCCGATGACACAGGCATTTTCGTCAATGGGAGAAGTCTTCCTATGATTTGCAGAAGAATGTAAAAAAGTGCAGATATTCTCTCTTTTTTGCGAAAAATAATGATTTTACCCAACGCTTCCACAACTCAACGCATAATATTCCCGCATAAGCACAGAGCTTAATTTTTGCAACCTAATTGTAATCACTTAGTCACTATGCACGGAGTTTCAATTACTTGGGAGAGTACCGTAAAATATATTGTACTAGCACTTATTTTTTTTTTTCATTTTCTACATAAATTCTCCGATTTTTATTTATTTCATGATACATGAAAGATAAGAATATTCTCGAATTAAGTGATTTTTTCAAACTTAAGATATCACTGCAACTCAAAACTTGCGCCTGGTTTATTTTTGGTCTCTAATCTAGTGTAAACAACTATCTGAATATTTTATACATGTGAACATTGTTTTTCAAACTGGAGTTTATTTCTTGTGTTTTTTCCATTAAGAAAACATGTGTTTATAACATGTGTTATATTTCAGTGGCAGCCAATTATAAACCTTTTTGTTCCTAAAGCTCCTACTGTGCAACGGTTGTAGTTAGGTTTGTCAGTACCGGACCCTTTTTGTGAGTACCGTAAGTGGGGGTGACAATAAGCCAAAAAATCAAAATGTGTCGTTCCTTACCTTCAGGCAAAGATATCTAATAAACAAGATATCCCACTAATCAATTCCTCATACAAGGCCCTTATGTGATAGCAGTGCTATCTGTTGAGGGCACATTGAAACTGTTGGGAGTTCCCCGCCAAATTTACCAACAGGGCTCAATAACTGACAGGTGTCAGCATGACATATGTCAACGCGGACGTTGATGATCAGCCGAGGGAAGAGGACGATATCATCCTCGATGTCATCATCATTAAATTGCGATAGCAAGATTCTTACTTGTTTGTGATTTCAATCATTAATTACCACTCTATACGCAACAGAAACACTTGAGAAGATAATCACACATCCAAGCTATTATGATGTGCTTGTAATATGTTTTGCTTTCGAGCGAAAGAGTTTCCAATATACCACTGGTATCAGTAAGATGCAAATCTCTAATAGTAATTGATGATTTACGGAGCTGTTGTTCAACATAATCTCAATAAGCATAGAAGTAAACATTGGAAACCCTTCCCTTTCTCTAAAGAATTATTCCAACACCCCAGCCACTGGAAATGCAACGTATCGAAATCATTGCTAAACGTAATAAAATATGCTGTCTTCTTTGGCCAACGCAGCACGCATTCAATTCAAAGATTACGTTGGAATAAACATTACTTTCCTATTTTATAACGTAGGAAGTATTTGACAACGCCGGTGAAAACAAACGCAAACGGGAGTAACCGAAGCTGAATGATGACGATGAATAATGACACCGCTTCCTGTTTTGATTTGCGCTGTATCATCCGCTCGTGTGGGTTCGCACATGTATAGATGTTGGTGTGCGTGTTTTCTTCCAACGCAGCAGTTCAATGTTGCCTCGTCACAAACCGTTTGGCGCTGTTATCTGTCTCTATAAATTCCAAAGAGTGTAGGGGGTCTGCTTCAGGGCTGGAAAGCACCTCAGAGCGTTAGCAAAGCAGCTTTGTGCATGCGTTTCACAACACTCGACAAAGAGTGTGTGGTTCACCCATTTACTTGGCACACTCTTATACAACTAATCTTTGAGAAAGCGATCCACACAATGAGCGAATATAATACACTGGAGTCGCTATCTACGCTAATTCAGAAATCCGCGTAAAAACACCGCGTAAATTCTGAAAACAGTTTAGAAAAATACCGCGTATATTCTAAAATCCACGAAAAAAATACCGCGTAAATTTTGAAATCCGCGTAAATTCCAAAATTTGCCTAAATTGCAACCAATCGAGATTTTTACAAATTTCATTGTATTTTTAAAGTGTAAAAACCCATGATGTCTCCCGTATCTTCAGCTACAAGAAAAGTTAGTTTACACCAAGCGAAGTCTTTTTTACGCAGTATTGAGTTTACGTCCCTCTTTTAAATAAGTAAATCCCAAATAACGAGGATTTTTTTCATGAAGTTAATTCCAAACAACGATTTTTTTTTTGCGATTCTGGGAAACTGAGAACTACTGCCAAATACCCAACAATATGGGTATTTTTAGAATCAGGTTGACGTGTAGAGACCGTGACCGTGACGTGCGTCTGACGCCATTTTGAAATCAAAGATGGTGGCTTCCGGTTTGATAAAAACTTGGAAATTCTGTCTAATACCCCTCAATATGAACATTTTTGGAATCGGGGTGACGATTAGAGACCGGAAATCTATGTCAGACGCCACTTTGAAATCCAAGACAGCGGCTTCCAGATACAGAAAATCTTAGAAACACTGTCAAAAACCCCACAACATGGGTATTTTTGGAATCGAAATGACGTATAGGGACTGGAAATTTATGTTTGATGGCATTTTGAAACCCCCTTTGGTAATTCTGTCAGATACCCCTCAATATGGGTATTTTTAAATTCCGGGTGACGTGTAGGATTAAAAATCTATGTCTGATGCCATTTTTATATGGCAATAAAGCAGCTTCCGGTTACAGAAAAACTATAAAATACTGTCAAATAATCCACAATATGGGTATGTTTGGAAACATACATGAACATGCATGCAGTCCGGAAATCGATGTCTGACGCCATTTTGAAATCAAAATGGCAGCTTCCGGTTTTAGTAAAACTTGGAAATTCTGTCAAATGCCCCTCAATTTGAATGTTTTTGGAATCGGGCTTACGTGTAGCGACCAGAATTCCATGACTGACAACATTTTGATATCCAATATGGAAGCTTCCGGTTACAGAAAAACTGAAAAATACTGTCAAATACCCCACAATATGGGTATTTTTAGTATCGGGTTCAGGAACTGGAAACTCATATTAAACGTCCTTTTGAAATTTAAGATGCCGGCTTCCGGATACAGAACAACTGTAAATGCAGCCAAATACCCAACATTATGGGTATTTTTGGAATCGGTATGTAGACTCCGGAAATAAATGTCTATCACCATATTGAAATCAAAGATGGTGGCTTTCAGTAATAGTAAAACTTGGACATTCTGTGAAATACCCACAATATGGGTAATTTTGGAATCGTGAAGACTTGTAAGAATGGGAAACCAGGGTTGCTTCTACTCACTTGCTATGAAAAACGGTTTTTTGGAATTATGAAATCATTAGATGTTATTATGATAATTTGTACTTTTTAGTTAATAGAAGTGGTTGTAATGTATGTGTTTGACACATTAAATTAGTCAAACTCGCTTTCAAAGTGTTACAATCAGCGATTTTATGATTCGAGTGCGTTCACTCAGAGTGAGCGCTCGCGAGTCGTAAAATCTCTGATTGTGGCTATCTGAAAGCAAATTTGACAAGTTTTGTGTGTCAAACCATATGCCTTTCAACACAGAACAGAAGGGGAAGTGCAAACAAATAGGTGAATCAAAAAGTGGTTCGATTTTCTGCTCAACAAGAGATGCGTTGTGGTAGCGTTACATATCCTGCCTAACTTTTTTTTTTTTTGTTTTTTGACTTTAAATGATCTTTATTTCTAGTATTTGTGTGGTTTTACATGTATGAATTAACAAGTGACACAGATGCGTCTTTTCAACTTTAGTTAGACATATCCTGCCTATCTTAACTGCAGGCATAAGATGCCTTCTACCGCTAGGTGCGCTAGTGTTCGTCAATGAAGGGTGCAGCCACTTTCTGTTCTGTGCTTTTAACCTGTTCTTGTATCTAGCAGGTACAAAATATATATTCGGTATTAGTAGGTTTTGCATCTATCGATAAATTGCTGAGCAAAGATATTTCAAGCATCGCCAATTTTCCGTTACACATCAAACCGAAGGCATCGTGTTCAGAGTGTTAAGGAAGTGCGAATAAAAAGTATGATGTTTAACCGCATAAAGCATAACCATAGGAAGTACCTAATCACCTATTCGGAATATCATCTCAACTCTATGTGGTATGTTTATTAGAGTAGTTTCTACAATTGTGCATTCCTAAATGTGTTTGTGTGCAAGGCTCGTAAATGCTGCTTTTGGTTAGGTATATTACCATCTTCAAAACTCAACTGAATAAGTAGCTCTTTACGATAACTGCTAGCTAGTATCGTCTATGGTTATAGAGCAATTCAGTTTTCCTGGAAAAACCCCAGTCGAAACGAATGAGCGAAATTTTTGGAAAGCACACTCCTTCCTTCCTCCACCACACCACCGTTCGCAGTTGATGGTTATTATCTCGTAATTAAATCCTTCCACTTACCCTTGAATGTGTGAACCAAACTGTTGCTCATTATGTGCCATAGCTGGGGGTCGCCCACCTTTGGCGAGAGGATTAGATGTTGCTTCGAGGGTGAAACCTCTATGTAGCGTACCGGTCCCATGCCTGGAACGGCCATGCATCGTATCTGGGATGGAAGCGGCACCGGGAGCCAACCCGTGAGGGGCACCAGTAGCGGGACCGTGTAGCCATCGCACCATGCCGTCGCTGATTGAACTGTCACGCTCAGCAACGCCTGAGGGCCTTCGTGGGCTGCCACTGATTTGAGCCAGGATATCAGCTGGAAAAGAGATTAATCAGTCAACTTCCTGTGTTGGAATGGTATGTGCGCTATCGTTGGCGGAGTATATAACTGTTTTTTGAAAGACTGGATTACTGAAATTGCTATCAAATTTGACCCAAAAGAGACTCCTGTAATAAAAAATATGTATCGAATTACACCCACCTGAGCTCCTAGCTGCATTGGATCTCTGGTGAGTACATCGCTCGACTTCCGAATTGTATAGTATACCAGCTCGATATCTCGATCCAAAATGTAACATCGCACGTGCTCTATTAAACATCTCAGATAGCTAATTGACACCGTTTGTACCTGTCAGAAAAGGAGTACAGAGAAAGGAAAAGATCGAAATAGAATGTGCAATCAAGTACCAAATTTTGCTTTGCGTGCGCAATTTTCCCAACAAAACCGGTCAAATAACACCGGTTCGTAGGTGGTGGTCGTTAATTAAAAACATCGTGCTTACCGCCGCCAGCAGAAAGTCGAAATTGCACACCGCAATCTCTTTGAGTTTTTTCGTATCATCGGATTTAATTAGATGATGCCAGGATTCCTCAACGTGCCGTATGCTGTAGGAGATGTCCGGTCCCAACGTAATGATTTGCGTCACGTTATCGTCGTGTTGCGTTTGGATACCTGTAGAGCCATCGAAAAATATGAAAAAAAACGATAATTATCTGATCCATGTTTTATGCTGAAGTCTGTTTGATCTAAAACAATTCGAAAAGTTCATATAAAATTTGTATTCTCATCTTTCAATAGATCAAAGATATTATCTTAGGTTAGGTTAGCTGTATTAATTAGACTATCAGTTGATGCCTGGTTCTTCTCTTGCGATATTATATTAACTAAAGAGGCTAGAATATACAAAGAGACGCCATCTGATCACTGTGAAAACAAGTCACAACTTCTCACTTTTACAATGCTCTTCAATGTTTTACAAATTACTTCTCGCTAGATGCTCATCTCCATACAATAAACCTCGTGGACAGCGTGGAAAACGCTTACGATGTCATCGATCACGCAGTTTGGAAATGTAAGGATAATGACGCCGCCAGAGAGTGACTTTTGAATACCCTTGAGGCCCAAGGAAGACAACCGTATATCCCTATCAGAGACGTGTTGGGAACAAGCGATATCTGCTATATGCAGTCGATTTATGTGTTTCTGCAAATGTCTAGTATAAGAATTTAATTCGTTTGTCTTTTGTATCTCTTTATTTATTTTTGTTTGTCTTGTCCCCCCGTCTCGATGAGTCTCATCGTTACCCACTGGTCACCATAGGCGGTCGAACTCCAGACAAAGCTAGAACCGCACTACCGTTCATACTGGGGACAACGCTCTGATGAGACAACGAAACCTAACCCCCAAGCTCCTCCCCTGATCCTATCCTTCGACAATGTACCCCTCTAACCTCGGGTAAGCCGCGAGTATTCGGCCCAACTCCTACTAGATATAGCATTAAGTGAATTTTGTTACAAATAATGAACAATGACGTATCGGCGCCTGGCCGTTTTAAGAACCCTTTGCTTCTCCCGGTGAAGATACTGGATATCCAAAAACTGGGCTCAGTATCTGTCAGCGAGGGTAAACAGATTTTTACCCCCACATTCTTGTTTCGTGTGACCTTTTCTGGTTCAGTCCTTCTTCACTACATCGAGCTGGGAAAACTTCGACTGCCTGTGCGTTTGTTCGTTCCCCGGGTCATGAACTGCCAAAACTGTAAGCAGTTGGGACATACGGCCTCCCACTGTGGCAGCAAGGCACGCTGTTCCAAATGCAGGAGAAGCATGAGGATGGCGCCTGTGCAGCTACTGTACTACAATGCGTGTACTGCAAAGAATCTCCTCCTCATGGTGTCTCGTGGTACCCGGTGTACAAACAACGCGGAGAGAAACTAGAACGCTCTCTTAAGGAACGTTCCAGGCGGTATTTTGCAGAAATGCTTAAGCCAAGCCATTGACCAACGACAAAAATCCCTTTTCTTTTTTGTCAGATGACGAGACTGACTCTGACTTGGCTGAGGAGGGAATTCCTTTCAGTTTTCCGAAAGTTTCTTTACGGAAACGAAGACGCATCCGTTTACGGATAGTCGCTGATCAGGAGCCTCAAATCAGTTTGCAAAAATCAAGGAGTGGTGGAAAAAAGGAAGTTTCAACTCCTCCTGGTTTCCGAAGAACTATCTATACCCAGGATTTTCCATCACTCCCGGGGACATCCAAAACCCCTGATGTTCCATTTTTAAGAACAGAAGCCCCTTCTTCATCTGGGTTGTTCTGATTTGATGACATTGTGGACGGTATCTTCAAGTACCTCGATATTTCTGATCCTCTCAAAAGCATTGTTCTGGCAATGCATCCTACTGTGAAGACCCTCTTGAAGCAATTGACATTGAAGTGGGCCCTCCTTGCAGTAATCATTTCCTTCGATGAAACATTTTCCAAACGAGGTCGGGGATTTGATCACTGTTCTACAGCGGAATTGTCGACATCTCATTCCTAAATTAGATCCTTTTAAGTTTTTAGTTCACAATCATGATTGTGATGCATTTGCTCTTTGTGAAATTTGGCTCTCTTTAGATATAGATCTTCCTTTTTATGTTTTTAACATTATTCGACTTGGCTCTCCTTAGATATAGATCTTGCTTTTTATGATTTTAACATTGTTTGACTGTATGAGGATTCGCGTGGAGGAGGGGTTCTTTTGGGGATCAAAAAGTGCCATTATTTCTATAGAGTGAATCTTCCACAATTTCCAGGTATTGAAGTTGTCGCATTGCAGGCTATTAATAAAGGTAAGAGCCTTTGTATTGGTTCTGTGTATATTACTCCCCGAGTTTCGGTTAATCGAAAACATCTTTCAGATATCTGCTCAGTTCTTCCTACTCGACGGTTGATTATGGGAGATTTTAATTCTCACGGTACAGGGGAACTGTATGATGACAACCTCTGTGATAACTTCAATATGACAATTCTTAACAATGGAGAAGTAACACGTTTGGCTGGACCATCCTCGAATGGTAGCAGATTAGACCTCACACTTTGCTCTAATTTATTATCGTTGGATTGCACGTGGACTGTAATCCAGGATCCCCACGGTAGTGATCACTTGCCGATCAAAATTTCGATTGCCAGTGGGTTCAGTCCGTCGGAACCCGTTAACGTCGCGTACGATCTCATCCGTAATATCGATTGGACACAGTTCAAGATTGTGATCGATGAAGCCATAACGTCGGTAGAAGGACAGCGCTTCAAGCTCAAACTTGGCCGGTCCATAGGAAACCTCCATCCCCTTGGTGGGACCAGAAATGCACAGAGTTTTATCGTGAAAAGTCCGACGCGTTTAAGCTTTTCCGGAAAGCCGAGCATTTCGAAGCGTACTCTTCTCTTGAACGCGAACTCAAAAGCCTCATCAAAGCCAAGAACCGCGGATACTGGAGGCAATTTGTGAACTTCAAACAACGATAGCGAGGAGTACTCGGACCGTTGGATGCTCAAGTTCGCGCGAAAAGTATGTCCTGATTCCGTGCCGGCACAGATGATTCCTCGCGAAACGACGAATTCGGTAGACGAGATCAGCCAGCCTTTTTCAATGCTAGAGCTCTCACTCGCGCTCCTTTCGTGTCGCAATTCGGCTTCGGGGCTGATAGGATCAAGTTCAACTTGTTGAAGAACTTCCCAGACGTCGCTAAGAGGCGTATGTTGAACTTGTTTTGTCAGTTCCTGGGGCTCAATATTGTTCCATATGATTGGAGGCGAGTAAGAGTTATTAAAAAACCTGACAAATTTGTTGTCAGAGAAATATAAGAGCTTTTCTCATGGACACTCTACAGCTTCTCGATTTAGTTACATTGGTCTCCCCCAGGGTTCATGTTTAAGCCCCCTTCTGTATAATTTGTGACTATGGCATGACCAAACACTCCCGGGTAACTAGCTCAGTAGCATTAGACCCCTGAACTGTATCGCAGGACTGGCATGTTATTGAGTATTCGGAGGGGCTACGCGGACAAAGTATGAAAACACAGAAACATTCACATTTTCTAAAACATTTATTGCCCTTTTCTGTGGCGTTTAGGTGTGGGTTTTTCATATATGTGGCGTATGTGCGAGGGCTTAAAATTGGCACTGTACTCACTGCTGCAGCGGAATCTCCTACGGCGTCGCGACGCTGGCATTGGCCCACACGGCTGCTCATGCACTACCATGTGGCCGAGAACTTGCGGCGCGGGCTGCAAACAGCGGATCTGGTGGCGTTCATCAGCGACATACGACTCAGCAGGCTTTGCTGGCTCGTTTGGCTGGCAGGCGTCTTCCGTCGTTGACGACATCGGCTGAACGTGGCATGGCCACCTTGGTCAAGCCGAGACGGGACCCTCCTTGGCAATTAAGGCCACCGGCCTGAAGAAATTGCCCTAACGGACGATCGAGGATCATTTACTATTAGGCTCGGAAGCCATCTTGACTTCCGAGTCGAGCAGTGTGAGACCGTTTTTTTACGGTACGTGGTACGAGATATACAAAAGCACAAGAGGTCCTGAACGGAGGCAACCCAACATCCCAGAAGCCCCACAAGGGGGGGGGGGGGTTACACTAAATGGCACTGCACTTTAAAATACCGGTCTTTTGCACACGGACGCCTGTTTGTTTTTTGTAAATCTTCCACTGGAAGATGGCCTTCCACTGGAAGATGGAAGAACCATTTTTGTGCGAGATGTTGTATAATAGTTTTTTTTCCCTTCAGTAACGTTCTTGTTCTTTGCAGCGGCACAAACCCTCTCGCTCTTGTGTGTGTCTACTGTTTTAGGTTTAACAAAGCGAGAATTTTTCCAACAAACAATAACTCATACAGAAGAAAATCCACGAATTGTAACCAACTGATTACAAGTTTCTACGTCAGAGAAATAGACAATTGTCTAATATCGTTTTCGTTTTTTGCGTTTTTGAGGCCGTACACCCAAATATTTAGGGTGTAGATTTGGGATGCACCTTTGTTTACAAACAAATGATGTTGAGCTGTCAAAGACTCACGCTTATTTCTGCTTACACTACACCAGTGCTCCACCGCAAAAACGAAAACGACATAAGTGACTACTGCACGTTGAGACAACTTGCAGATGACGGCGTAGTGTCTATGACAGGGCCCAAAGGGGTCGACTTGCAAGGACCCTCACAGTAAACCTTAGACAATTTGTCTACCGTATGCGTGATAATGTTTGCACCATCGTACAAATAAGGTTCCCGTTTCACATGTGCATACAATGCCTTAGTATTCTTTGCATGTACGTAACCTATAGCTCATACCGTAGTTGGCTTGTATAAAAGAAAATGATTTACTTAGTTTGACAGTTTCACCATGACGAAGTGGCAGCGTATTCGTGATTTGTCCCACGCGCATATGTCGCAAAAGACATTTCAATCGCCGTGTGAGTGTCTCGGTGGACCGTCAAAAGGGTTTTAGACCGAGAAAAGAAAGGACAACTATCCGCGAAGGTGGCCACAGATCGCCCGAGGTCAGCTCGGGTTCCGACGGTTATCGCTGCGAAGGATATGTGGCTGCCATCCAACCCCGATCTTAATCCGCTGGATTACTCAATATGGCGTGTCATGAAGGCCAAGGCCTGTTCTAAACGCCACCCG